GCTATGATACTTTTCAGATGTATTACATAGTATGCATTCGTCTGTCATGTATTGATTCATCATTCATTTCAAATGGTTGAGTTGCCTTTCTTTAGAAGATTTTCTAATTTATACCGATATATTGATAGTTTCGTGCAGGTACAAGATGCTTCATCAACAATTTAAACATCTTTTCATCTAAAGTATATTTATATATTTATCGAGTACATGATATGTTTGGTTATACCCAGATGGAGCCACAATCTCGACATATTCCTATAAAAGATTCTCTTTACTATCTTTCAATAATTTCTTTAGCTCTCTAAAGATTCCGACAGAAAGCAACAATTGTGCATCATTGGAAGAAATGCGACTGGTATAAATAGGCCTAAAAAATTGCTGCATAAGCGGTTTTTTTCGTAATCGATCCGCCGATCGTTTATCCACGTCAGAAGCGATTTAGCAGATTAGCCGCAAAGCTTTAGATGAAAACAAACATTCAGTTATGTATGATAAGTAAGAATATATTATTAGAAATTCATAATTGATATTTTTCCAAGAATTTTAAATATGAAATTATTTAAATAAAAATGATAGAAACTATAAAGAAAAGAATAATACTGCTTTTCAAACAAATTTCAAACTGACTGTAATAAAAGATTTTCAATCTGTTCAAACTTTTACTCATCTATCACTAGAAGAATTATCTGTCTATCTGTCTATATATACATCTATTACACAGTGAAAGAAGAAAGCAACACAGCCTCATTTCGTTCTATATATATATATATATATATATATATTTATAACTTTAATTTTCAAACTATTCCTTCAATTTATATATTAAACATATGCATTTTCTACGTAATATATACTTATATGTACATAAAAATTTCAGGCCAACTACTCTATTCCACTTTTCTTTTTTCCTTTCCTAGCCTCTCAGTTTATTTATTTAAGGAATAAAGTGAGCATTTATTCGGGGAAGAGCTCTCCCCGTCTGTCTCAAACTCATTTTGGCAGTTTAATCTACGTCTAGGAGAATGAACCAAGTAGTATTTCAGTAAAGGGGCCCGTTACACTGTTACTCGATAGTTGTAGCTAACAAAAGGTCAGATCAGAGCTGCTAAAAATACTAAGTTAATGCAACCGTTTCGCCGCAAATGAATTCAATTTTATTTTCATTATTTCAATTTTTAACCTTTTAGTCAGCTGAAATTTTCTCAACGCATTTAATATTCTAAAAAAAAATGCAGTATATTCTCTACTTTTTGCAGTTTTCAGGAAAATAAAAACTGCAAAAAGAAAAATACAAATGCAACACTTTATCATTTTTAATAAAAAAAACAGGCTTCTCATATACATATTGACTCTTTTTAATTGTACTCTGTAAAAATCTTATAATTTGACATTTTAAAATAAAATTCTATTTACCTAAACAACAAAATTGTACAGTTTTTTCATTTTATTTTAATCACAAAAGACTACGTTGACCATATAACTTTTCTGTTATCTTAAACCAATGAAACAACCTATATGTCTTCACTCTTATCATTTTGCAAGTTTACATATGCGAAAGAGAGAGAGAGAGAGAGAGAGAGAGAGAGAGAGAGGGAGGGAGGGAAGGAGGGAAGGAGGTAGGAAATGAGTGAATGAGAGATAGATAGGATAGGATAGATAGGCAAAAAAAATAGTATAGGTTAAATATTTTTTGTTGGAAAAAAAAAAAAAGTTCAATAATACCATATTATAAAATATTCGATATTTATGAAAATTTAAAGGTGAATTAGCACTAGAATAGTAATAGAAAATAGAAACGAACAATATAGTTTAATTTAGAGTACATCTAAAAAAAAAAATACTAAATGTAAAATAAAAGGAAGATAAGAGGAAGAGAAATAGAAGAAAAAGATTTGTCTATTTATGAATTAAAAAAAGAATACAACAAAGATAGAATTCTCTTTGTATTTAACTCGTGTACAGATATACAATATATATATATATTTATATAAACTATATGTGCTTGGGGTTACGTTAGTACGTCTTTCTGTTGCTTTTTCTTTTGCATGCTTACTACATGTACTTAAACATAACTTTATATTTATATATTAGGAAAAAGGCTGTGTTAATTTGGTATCTTTATTCATTCACTCCATTTCCCTTGTGTATTAGCATATGAATTAAAAAGTAAAAGGCGATCTCTATATGAATAAGTCAAGATTCTAAATTAGGAAGAGAGAGAGTAAAACCTATGTGCATAAAAAAAGAAAAAAAGGTATTGGGAGAAAGAAAATAACTATGCACCTATTCTTGGTTGTTTGTGCGTGCATTCTCCGTACGGAGCCTTCGGCAAAAATTACGGCGAAAGAGGAACGGTATAGGGAGATACAATCGGCCGGCCAAGATCGAAGAATAGAAAAGAATAGCTGTCATCAGATCCAATAATCGCGAGGTCTTTCACCGTATTTGCTGATTATAACCGCTTCATTAAACGTTCGATAAGCTTCAATTACGGATGTGCATATGCTTACGTCACATGACCATCAAAATGACGTCATCTATCTATCTACCACTAGATGCCACTTTAGCAGTGCAAGATCCTACCCGTCATCTTTCCTGAGAAAAGGTTTGTGAATTTTTATAAAAGACAATTAAGATTATTAATAATGAATAATAAAGTTGAATAGTAAATAAAATTGTTTTATTTAAAAGTAGAAAGTAATTATTAAATTTGGACTAACAGATAACAAATTTTGCAGCTGCCTCTGTCGCGCTGTACACCGACACAACATTTTTATTGATTTCTGCAGCGCTGTCTATATATGAAAGTACTGGAATTTGCTGATCTATCTATTCTAGCATGCAAGTAAAAGGAGTAAAGTGAACGTCCATAATTAGTAAAAAAGGTAAGCGCAATAAATTCGACTTAAAACAGGTAATCGGTGATCTGAAAACGGATAAATTATTTGCCTTAAAAAAAGATTTTCATTAAACCTATGCAATGTAAATTACAGTAGATTGGAGAAAGGTTTCAGAAAAGAGGTATAGATTACTATAATTGTATAGTCGTGGTACATGATTAATGCCGATTCTAAAAATGAATCGAATTCTCTAAATAGCCCCTTAAGATGACTCAAAACCGGTAATGGAGTTTTTCTCTCTCTCTTTCTCTTTTTTCCTCTTTCTCTACACTCCTCCTCTTTTAACCATTTTATCAGTCAAAGCAGAAAAGTAATTCTTAACAGGAAGTTATTGATCAATTACATATCGTAGTATTTAATTCATTTTTCGTTTGATGAATGTCATTTATGCAACTAGCAAACGTTACTGAGTAGTTTACTGAAAGATCTATGTATGTACTCTATATAATCATAAAAAGTCTAAATTATCTCATTTTTAATTCTAGTTTTTAACAATCTATAATAAAGAAAAAAAAAATCAATTTTTTAATACTTTCATACATATGAATTTTTTATTGAAAAATGAACACTCAATGAGAAATAAGAATGAATTCTCTCTCTCTCTCTCTCTCTCTCCCATTGAAGATATATATTAAAAGATATATTTGAATCCTTCTTATTTATTTATTTTCATTTAATTATTAAAAATTTACTGGACAAAAAAAGAGAAAGAAAAAAAAATAACACCGATTTTTTACCGGTACAGCTTTTCTTTAATCAATTATTCTTTATCACCAAACAAATACTATATGTATACTGCTTATACGTAAATTACGATTTAGAATTGCAGTATAATCTGTTAGGTTACAGTTGTATAGGTAAAAAAAATGTAACTTTAAAGGTATATGATTGTAATTATTGAGCATTTTTTGGTTATATATATATATATTCTCTCTCTCCTACTGCCCTTTTATGTAATATCATAAAACTTAATTATTTTCTATGTTGAGTTAATAATAAATGAAATTCGATTGAAAAGCAAGAGTGACCCTTTTTTGATGAGAAATTCTATAAATATAGACTCCTTTTTACGTAGATGGCCACTATTTTTATATCTCTATTGATGTATGAAATTAATGTTGTATAAAAATAGATAAATAAATAAATATACTTAGTATAGACTCTTTAAACAGTAACCATACTCTTTAAATACTGACAATTATATACACATATATGTATACACTATATATATATCTATAAATATATACATATATATTTGATGTGTACAACAGAAATAGTATTCTATTAGTATAAATAAACAAATAAATAAATTGTCTATTCAATTTATGTATTAACAAGTATTATTCAGTAAGAGAAATGACGTAACTGGAAATAATCAACGTTGTGTGACTGAAACAACGCAAGTGGGACTCGAAATGGCAATGTGATATATTATGTCGAAGCGTGATCTGAATAAATCTGTAGGCATAGGAGAACCAAGTCAGGAGGAGAGGTTAAATAGATGAAGAAGGAACGTCTCCTCTCTTCTACCGACAAATTGTAAAAATTGATATTATTCATGCATCGTTGAAATAAGTTTAATGAATCATAGAAAGTAGCTTAAATTTCATTCGAACCGACCTTTTATATCATTTGCATAAGTTTAAAAAAGAAAATACACACCAAAATTTTTTTATTAAACTAAATAGAAAGAGAAGAATGAAAACAAATAAACAAATACGTTTATTGAAATATGAATATTTCTTTTTTTTTCTATTTCATATATTATTAGTAAAAAATCACCTAATTACCTGGATTTTGTTGCTGATTGTTATATATATATATATATATATATATATACTGTATATATTGTTTTTCGCTTATTTACATGGTTTGATTCTTGTATTATTTATCCCTGATTTTTTGTATGTTATAGATAACCCCCTTTCCGCAGTAACCATCCTAACCATCCCATCTCTCCCACTCCGTCCCCTACCTTCCTAAACAGACAAACTGACAAACAAACTAACTAACTAAATAAATAAATAAATAAATAAAGCCTATCAATACTTGTAAAACCAAACAACTAATCAATCAATCAATCACACATTGCCAAACCAAAATGTTCTACCACAGTTCAACCAGCGCAGCTTTGTCTCGCGACGATTATAGAAGAACTTTTCCGAAACAAGACTCTACCAATTCAAGAGATTCATACCAGACTCCACAAGATGTCGCTTATATGGTGAAAAAGATTCGAGCGGAAAAAAAATCGACAGATGGCATAAAAGAGCCATTACCAAGAGCCAAAGTGAGCGGCGGCAGCCGGGAGATAAATTTCAACGATATGACAAGCGAAACAGAGGGAGGGGAGAGACCTCTTATCTACTACCCTACTCTTTCAACTCCTCTACCGGATCCGTATACAATCTTAAGAGCTAAACAACTCAATAAAAGGGTCATAGTGAACGTTGGAGGGGTGAAACACGAAATGTTATGGAAAACTCTCGATCGTATGCCGCACACTCGTCTCGGTAGATTAAAGTATGCTAATACTCACGATGCAATAATGGAATTGTGCGACGATTACAGTATTGTGGATATGGAATTTTTCTTTGACAGACACCCCAGGAGTTTTGCCTCTATTGTCAATTTCTATAGGACTGGTAAACTACATTTAGTTGATGACATCTGCGTACTAAGCTTCAGGTTAGTGATACTTGCCAGTATTCTTCTTATCTTTTTTACGATACCCGCAAAAAAACGCCGACATTGTATAAGGTCAACAGTAAAGTATACTTTATCTACGATAACTTTGTATACTCTTTAAACTTAGTAAGTTACAAATGAAATTGTACCCTATGACTTAACTACAACGTGTACAAGACACGTTTACGAGTATAAGCTCAGTTAGAAGTTTGCGAGTAGAAGTATAGGTGCAACGCATACAGATATAACAGACACTCACTGACACACATATGCATATTTCGTTAAATTTATGTAATATTTAGCTATTTAACGTCATAGTTTTATATATAAATTGCTCCACACTGCAATTGATTTACTAGTATATATATACACAACAAACTTCTCTAAAACATGATAATTATAGCCTATAACTTTTTGTTCAAGGTAAGTATTTCTCTAGTAAAAAGAATCAATGAAGTTTTACAGCTGTAAATGTTAAAAAAAAAAAAAAAAGAACAAAAATTCCATCAAAAACTTATTTTGTTTGTTTGATTCGAGAAATGGTGTTTTTTTTTTTTTTTTTTTTAAAAAAAAGTGAGAAAGAAAAGAATTAAAAGAAAGAAAGAAAGAAAGAAAGAGAGAGAGAGAGAGAGAGAGAGAAAAGTGGAATTATTTTTCAAGTCTCGAATACTATAAACATTAATTAATCGATGACATGTATGACATAAACATATGCTTTTCGTATCTGATTTGTACATTGATTGTTAAGCTTGAAGAAGAAAAACAGCAAAAAAAAAAAAACACTTAAGAGTTTTTATTAAGTTAAAAGAATGATAAAGAAGGAAAGCTGTCTCTTAATAAGAAAGAAAGAAAGAAAGAAAGAGAGAGAGAGAATGAAAAAATACAAAGAGAGAAAACTAAGCAAAAAAAAATTCAAAAAAAAAAAAAATAATTGCAACTTTAATTAGAAAGAAAAACTCGTCGGGAGCCTTTTCACTCGTAAAATCTTTGCTAAAGGAATATAGCATGACATAATGAGAGGTAAGGTAATTGAAGCAAAACCTAGAAATTAGAATTTCGTTGCCTCTCCATAGTTACTCTAATCCAACACCTTTAGTCACATGACTATATATTATAATCATCAAAAAGAAAAGATTTTTTTTTGTTTTTTTTTTTTTTTGTTTCCATTGGTTACACCTTTCGACATCGAGAGAGCATTCTCTTCTTTTTTTACTATTATGATTTCCTTGCTTGAAAGAGCTAAAAAAGAAAAAATAAACCGAAATTATTGCCATATGCTCGTTAGAGAAGATTCTTATCAAAGAAAAGAAAAGATAAAAAAAACTAGTGTAGAAAGTGTTCAGAAATGACTACATAAAAATGATATGTTGAGAGGATATTATCCCTCCTTTTTCTTCCTTTATTTTGAAAATAACAACTGGATTAAAAAGAATATAATGAAGGGAGAAAGGAAGATAATAATAAGAGAAAACATATAAGAGATTAATGAATTTAAAGTAATCACGACTGTCGTGATTTTCAATTCGAACACGATTATATATTCTTCAAAGAATGATATCTCTGATGTAAATTTCTTATTGAAAAAAGAATTCATCTTAAATTCTATGAAAAACATAGAACTATTTCTTATTCTTTCTTTTATCATTTCAATCAGAATAAAGATTTCCTATTACATATTTAATTATCCGTATCCTTTCAATTTGTTTTACGTACAGCGATGATCTTGAATATTGGGGCATAGACGAATTATTTTTGGAATCTTGCTGCCAGAATCGTTTTCATCAGCGAAAGGAACATATTTTTGAAGAAATGAGAAAAGAGGCGGAAACTTTAAATGCTAGAGAAGAAGAAACTTTTGGAACAGGCATTTGCTCAAAATGGCGCCAAAAAGTCTGGGATCTATTAGAAAAACCTCAGACATCGACAGCAGCTAGGGTAAGTTTGCGAGAGATGGGTATTGATTATTATCAGGAATCTCGCTTGGTAAATTAATCTTTTTCCCTTTTCAACTCGTAAAACGGTTAATTTACGCATGAAAAATGTTGATTTACGTTTCGTGCAAAAGAGATTCCCTAGTTATTCAATGGTTATGCTTTTATTTCCATTTTCCCTTCATATATATATAAATATATAAAGTTTGAAAATGTTGATTTTTAACCAAATTCAATAAAGTTTAAAAAATTCCCATTAATTAATTTTTTTTTTAAAAAAACAAAGAAAGTGAAAAAAGTATCAGTTAAAAGTCAACTTGACAAACTATACGTTTATATTAAATTATTCTATAAATGTAAATAGGCTAAAACCATTGGTTAATTGATATCTAATCGCATTTTTTAATTTTATTTCTATTTTCACTTCGTGCACTTGATAGTAATTAGAGGCAAAAAATTTCACTCTTGGTTAGCTTCGCATAGTTCTCTCTCTATACATATATATGTATATGTATCATATATATAAAGAAACCCAAGAATTCACACACACATATATATATATGTATATATACATGCACTATATACATATAGATATATATATATATATATATATATATATATATATATATAAGCAGCTCTAAATTGAATGCCAGCCTATTACTATTATTATTATTCTTTCATTAATAAATTTTCAGCTGAATGTTATTTATTCTTCCTCATAGAAAACAATTAAAACGACCTTAGATATTAATAAAAGAAAAGTTTATAGTCTTGTTATTTAAAACCTATTAGCTTCAGAAATCACAACCGCCACTACCGCAAACCACAACCAAAAAAAATAGTCAGATTATAAATGCAGTTTTCTAAAAGTTTATACTCCTATAGATTTTTTTTTAGCCGGGAGAAGCTTAATCTAACTGAGAGGTATATCCTTTCCCTCTTCCCCAGTCCTACTCCCTTTTAAAAATATACCGTAAATGTTACTAGCATATTTTTCAAATCAGTATAAATCTCATAAGAGTTCTCTTAAGCTACTTTTAGCAATCTGATCCTAAATCACTATACTAAATCATTTCTTTTTTCAAGATAGGTTTTACCTATATTTCATATTTTAATATAGTTTCTACAAATTCAATTGATATGAAATTGGAGATAATAAAAAATAGCGCAGTTGAGTAGGTAAGAAAAACAAGCTATCTTAGAGAAGAGCGAGAAAGGAGGAGAGTTGAGAGAGAGAGAGGGGGGGAGGGGAGAGGCGAATAAGTGAGAGAGAGAGAGAGAGAGAGAGAGAGAGCGCTAGATAGATAGATAGACTTATAGATAGAAGGGGGAAAAACAGAATAGGATACATAAAGAGGAGTGGGTAAATAAAGAAATAGATAGAAAGAGTAGGAATGGGAAAAAAGGCCAAAAAAAAGGAAAATCTACTGATTTAATTACGTTCAAATTTATACTTTTTTATTTGTTAGGGAAAATGTCAAATTGGAAAAGATTAGATTTGGTTTTGATAAGAGGGGGCGGGGAAATAAAAAAAAGGGAATCGTAAGGGTAGAGGGAAAAAATTTACTGATTCGTAAATGGCTTGTAATATACACAGTATATATAAGATGTACACGCATTCCTAGCAAAAAATATATAGCTAAGGAAAACACCCAAACTATGCTCCATAATCTAACTACTATGCAAATATACAACTAGCGAGCACATAAAAACAGCAACACCCATCCCAGAGCTACAGTAAACAGATAAATTTTTTAGATAAAAATGTGCACGTTTTACTGTGTAGTGTTTAGCCTGCTAAATTTTAATTCAGGGTAAATGCCCTACACCAGCATGGATTCGTTTAAAGCAGGTATACCCACATTGTAGTCGTTTGTGGCATGAAATAACAAACATCTCCTAATAGATTTTATGCTTTAATTTTTTTCTCTCTCTCTGTCAACTTGAACCGACATAAATATATATAAATTATAATTTAACCTTTCCCTAACCATTTAACCACCGATTCATTTATTCATTCATTCATTCATTCATTCGTCCATCATCCATCCATCTCTTCTCTGTTCTCTATCCTCTCGTTTAATCTGTCCTTTGTCCTTCGGAAACAAACAAAAAGTTTCCAAAGTAACAATAAGAATAACAACAATAATTCTATACAAAAAAGGCATAATAGACGTAAAATATAATATAAATGTATATATATTTATATAATAGAATAATTAAACGCGATTTAGCATTCGCCATTCAGCTTAGTTCACTCGATAAAAGAGTCAGTGATGACTGAGGTCGGGATAGCAGGAAATACTGTAATCCCTGACCTTTTCCTCGTTCCATACATATTGTAGGAACGAAATTCAATTGCCCCTATACCATCTCTGCCGATAAGTCTCTATAATGGCATGCCTACATACAGTAATAAGAATCTAATCAAGTTGATTTCAGAATGTTACTATTGGCATAAAATCTTGTTGCAATTAAGTGGGAATGGTTAGAGCTGCAACAGTCACTGATTAAATGTTGTTACACTCCACTCGATTTCTTTTTGCAAACAAAAATTCTGCTGACAAAATAAAAACAAAAACAAAAAAACTAATCTACTGTATTCAGGTGCTGGCCATCATCTCCGTTTTCTTCATACTCGTCTCTACAGTCGCCTTGACCCTGAACACAATACCGCAATTTCAAGTAAAAGACGAAAGCGCTCAAACTACATCATCGCCATTTAATGTGACAACGAAACCTGCAAACAACACTTACAAGGAAAAATGTATAGAGCATCCCAGCTTCTTTACGATCGAAGCAATTTGCATAGCTTGGTTTACACTTGAATACGTTCTGAGGTTCTGGGCGTCGCCCAACAAGTGGAAATTCTTTAAAGGACCGCTTAACATTATCGATCTACTAGCAATTTTACCATTTTACATTTCACTCGGACTAGTTGAATCAAACAAGTCGACAGAGCAGTTCCACAACGTCAGACGTGTAGTGCAAATTTTTAGAATTATGAGAATATTACGAATATTAAAGCTAGCTAGACACTCAACTGGCCTACAATCGTTAGGATACACATTACAGCGTAGCTATAAAGAGCTAGGTTTATTGATGATGTTTCTAGCGATTGGGGTGTTAGTTTTCTCAAGTTTAGCTTACTTTGCTGAGAAGGACGAGGTTGGATCGAAGTTCCGTAGCATACCAGAGACATTTTGGTGGGCAGCTATTACAATGACAACCGTCGGCTACGGCGATATTTATCCAAAGACATTTTTCGGAAAACTTATAGGGGGTGTGTGCTGCATTTGCGGTGTATTGGTTATAGCTCTACCCATTCCCATCATTGTCAACAACTTTGCAGAATTTTACAAAGATCAGATGAGACGCGAAAAGGCGTTGAAAAGGCGAGAAGCGTTGGAAAGAGCTAAGCGTAATGGTTCAATTGTCTCGTTTCATTCAGTAAATTTGAGAGATGCCTTAGCTCGAAGTGCCGAAATGCTGGACGATAGGAAACCTTCCAAGCAAAATAGCGTACAATTATCAGTTCCGCTCATGAGACAGGCCAAAGACTGCGTTAGTCTTCCAGGAGAGACGTTCGATCAAAGTCAACACAACCTATTGGAAGTAGATCAAGAATCGCTTAGAAGAATGACTTGCTCCCAGCCCATGCTTTCTCAGGTACTTTAGTAATAATAGTTAACTTATTTCTTATGTTTGCCGCCGTTAATATTTACTAAAAACTTCATATTTACAAGTCAATCTAGAAAAAAATTAGTGTTTAATCTTTCCGTTAACAAAGTACGTTAAAGTGCCTGATCGATTACAGAGTAATAGCTAAAGATTTAGATAAACTTAACCTTCTTTGAGATCGACTATTCTAAACCGTTTTTTCTAAATGGTTCTAGAGGCTACGCTAATGGCCGCTTAGGACTATCTCTCTTATCAACACTTCAACAATTTACTAACCGTACAATGTGTATAGTAAATTAGGTCTAATTCAACTGTCCCTTTATGTCCATACGCTTCCATGAAAAAAAACAGAATATCGATTCACCCTTCCAAACTACTTCCCTTGACGAAGTGGCTGAACCAAATAGAGAGGCTTTTAGAAGCACTTCCGTCGGAAATTTAACTGGCCAGTTAAAATCTGCACTTAAACATCATCATACATCGCCTGTCCCGGTCAAAGGTCGACCCAGATTTGCGGAAAAAGTAAGATATATTAGTCAACGGGTTGTCTTTTGTAAGTGAATATTGTGGTAAAATTTTGTAGTGATATTTTTATCAAGTTGAGAATTTGAAGAGAAGAGAAGAGAAAGGAAGAGAGAGAGAGATGAGATATTTTCAAAAATCTCTCTATGCAATAGCATTTGCTCTTTATTGATATTAACTTCTTTAAGAGTAATAAATATAGATTGGGTATACCTAATTAAAATATAGACTATTTACAATAATTGAACACTTTATTCAAACAAAACATTGTTATTGAAAGCTTTCAATCAAGAAAAATGATGTAAACATATTGTTGATGGCAAACAATAGCAAACTACAAAAGATAATTTAAGCAACGAAAGCTAATATGCAAATGAATCCCTCCTCGATAAACGCCTAAAAAACAATTCAATATTAAATATTGACTTTATAGGACTACATGTATATATTATTTTATAATATTATATAAATAACATGATTACATCCTTCGTATTAGTTTACATTTAACAATAGACATTTTCCTTACTTATTTTCTTATCGTTAGAAGGGCCATTACTGCAATGTCAGACTTAATTTATCGTCTCTATTATTACAGATTATTGCAGTAGTACATTTACATTCTATAGTTGAATATAAAGATATTGAAATGAAATTGTTAAAGATATGAAATAATAGACGCATTTTCCTTAAATGAAATTATCTTGTTGAAAGACCGATTTATACAAAAATCCTTAACAAAAGAATAGAATATATCTGTTTTGTTCTACCTTTTTTTTTTGTTTTAGATGTCGTTATATTTGCTTTATTGTACAAACGGTGTACATGTTTACTTAAACGAAACGTCTAATTTGCATACGCGTCTTTCTCGTTATCTCTTTAAAAAAATTAATCAGTTAATCCTAGGATTATTACAAAACTAATCTTTCTATTTTGTTTTGTTTCTCTCTATCGTAACTGCTTTAGTCGAATGAAAATGATGTTTTAATGAAAGTGAAGAATATTATTATTATATATCTTAATTTAGAATATGTTAATTAAGCATTTAAATCGAAATATTTAATCGATTTTCTCTTTTTTCTTTTGTGTTTCTATAAAAAAAAAACAACAGAAAGCAAAATCGGAAGATGCCAATGACTTTACGGAACAAAAGTTTAAATTTCCACTGAAAAAAACATCCTCAGGAAACTCAAATACAGGGAAAAAGTTGGCAAATTACAAAAATCTTAACAAGTCCCACAACGGTTTGTAATTATAAAACAATGGAATATTTTTTATATTTTAATTTTTTGGTGGTTTGCAACGCCATCTATTCCATATATATTCTATTATCTATCCATCTATATACTGTATAGTTGTATACTTGTATCATAATTCGTCTATGATTCATCGAGAAGTTGATTGAATTTCTGTCGGGCAACTGTCACATTTATTAAATTACGATCGTAATTATCAAACAGTATTTGTTGATTAATCCACTACATATAGGTGGCGCTTTTAGCGAATAATATGAGTTAGATAACAGAGAGAGGGAGAGAAATAAGGAAAGATTAAGTTGAGCAGAAAGGAAAAATAGAAACAAAAGAAAAGGAAAGAAAGAAAGAAAGAGACTTGCGAGGAAGACTAAACTAAATTAGTAAGGCTGTCAGGGGAAAAAGGGGAAAAGAATTGAGAAAAAAGGAAATGTATCAATAAAAACAATAATACGAATATATATGTAAATAATAATTAAAAGGGAAAGAAGATGTATTCCATTAAAATAGATATACATTCAATAAACATTAGTTAAAAGAAATGTATTATTTTCTTTTTATATTTAGTTCATTATAGCTTTTTTCTTTCATTTGTTAAAGAAAATTAGTATTCGAATAGCGTAATTTATTAATGGCCTAATGCATGGCAACTAATTCCCCCTAGATTTTACGGATGCATCTGATTAAAAGATGTATATTCTAGTAAGTTGTTGTATATAGCAGATGCAAACCTGGACGAGAATAATGCATGAAATGAAGCACCGCACAAAAAATATATTTAAACGTTTCTAAGGTATCTTTATTTATATTTCTCTTTTGTTTGTTTGTTTGTTTGTTTGTTTGTTTGTTTGTTAATCTCTTCTTTAAGAGTAATCAATTCCTATTCTACAAAACGAGGAGAAAAGAGTAAGAGAGTTTAAAATGTATAAGGAAGAGAAAAGTAAGCATGATTATTGTTGTAGCCTGTTTAACAGCATGCATAAGTAAATAAATTATATTAGAACTAATAGAAGAAAATAATTTTAGATATTAATTTTTCATCATTTCCGATTTTTGTTATTAGAAAATATAAGATAACTTTATTAAAATACTAATTCTATAAATAGATTAAAAGAAATAATATATATATGTAGTATATTTTTAAAATTATACCATTAATTAAAGAGAGAAAGAGAGAATGAGTGAGAGAAGGAGAGAAATTCTAGTCTAGCTCAATGCATAATGACAATAATGAGCTAATTAATTATGTTGTATTTCTATAAATACAATTATATTTCGTACTTGAAGTTATCTATTTACGTCGATTTGTTTATGTTATGTGGCTTTCTTCAATTTTTCTTCTCCTTCTTCTTGTTTTATTTCGTTGAAGATTTAAAAGATAAAAAGAAAACAAAATGGAGAATGCAATAAATGTAATAATAACAAGTTTTTTTTTAATAAAGTGTACTTTCCTTTGAGTTTCTATCCTTAAAAATTAAAAAAAAAAAACCAAATTACTCCTCTTCAACTTTTGTTTCTCTTCTTTTCAGGTAAAAGAAACAAATTTAATTCAAATATACTGAAAAATGCTGACAATCAACTTCTACCTATTAAGTATAATAGTTCAAAGATGCATCGAAGTAAAAGTGATGTATTAAATAAAGATGAAATGGAAACATTATTAAAACCACCTGCCGAGTTTTTGCCTCAAAGAAAGAAAGGAATTTTTAGATATTTACCAAAAAGCTTCTCAAAAGTTAGCCGAAATGGAGAATCTCTAGAAATGAATATTGTTGAAGATCCCAATATGTCTGCTGATTGTTTTGATCACGATCAAATTGACTATATTGACGATTCTCCAGCCCCAACTTGACATTCCAATGTAGTGGATCCCTCAAAGTGGACACAAATATTTTAGGCAATCTATAGAGACATTACACAAGCAAACAAAACACGTTCAATTTTACTTGCCTAATATACTTATTGAATTTCAATTTAGTTCATCTAAGAGGACATTATCATACTCTTAACCTTGCCAAATTATGCTCAGTTCGAGACTTGGTTCAGAGTCTCAATTCGCTTGCTCTCCTCACGTGTCAACGTTTTATTATTATTGACTATAAGAAGCCTCATTTACATAAAGAGAATCTTTTGAAGAATAAAAGTTTATCAGATAAAACTCGGAAGAAAAATGATAAATTGATTCTGGGATTTTTTCTCAAAAAGTTAACAAGAATAATAATAATTATTAATAGTTAATTATTAATAATTTTATTGTCTAACAAGACAAACTTTTCTTCACCTTCAAATATTCATATAAGAAAATTATGCTAAATTATACAAACAAAAATGTACAAGAAACTTTCTACGCTTTTTCTTTTCCATGCATAGCAGAAAAAAGGGAAACTTTTAACATAACTATATAGGCTTATATTTTTTGAAAAACTGATTTTATTTGTGCCAAGACTTGCTAACGCATGTAAAAAAAACAAAGAAATGAAAAAAAAAAAATAGAGAAGTTAAGATCTATTATTTTAAAAGTAAATAATTAATAATAAACATTAAAGTATTCAATGTAAATCTTCATGTGCTAGCTGTATAATATAACTATTATGAAATATATTGTTTCTTTATATCTATATATATATATATATATATATATATGTATATTCTGTTTTGCTCAAGCTTGTCATTCTGATCATTTTGTGGTAGAAAAAGTGCTCTTACTAATAAAAAGGCTCTTTACCAATCAAAAAAACACAAGAGAAACAATTTTTAATAAATTAAACTAATTATTAATGAATACAGAAATTTCAAAAAATATGATATTAGAACAATAAACAAAGCGAAAAAAGAAAAAAAAGAAGATCTGCTTAAATCACTTCCCAATTTTTTTGTATTCAATAATAAATAAATATTCCTTCTTATTTAATTTTCTAATATTTCATATATGTATTAATTATATAGGACAGCATTATCATCATTTTTATTTATTCAAAAGTGCATTTACATTCTTTTTATTTAATTTTTTTTTTGAAAGTGTTGAAAATTCAAAAGTTGCATTTACTTTACCAAGGTAGTTGGCGGCTAGCCTGTTTAACAAATCATTAATTTTCTAATAGTAAAATATGTTTGCTACTTATTACCTGAACAAGATTTACAGTTACACTGTTCAAATTGAATAATTTGCATCGATTCACTCTTTCCTTCGCAATCAAATTCAATATTAACTAATTTCCCCTTACCACTACAACATTTACAATCTCTTTGATGAGCTATTAAAGTGTCCCGATAAAATATTTGAGGTCTATCCATTGAATTACACTGTCCTTCACAATATGACAATCTCTCTTCTTTTACAGAAATACATTTAGTATTTGGAAAAGTAGGATGATTAATTGTTAGTTTCTCCGTTTTCTCTTTCAACTTACATTCCGTACCATTATCTTTTATAGAAATTACCATTTTTAGGAAAACATATGTTAATATTATTGGTTATGGAATTTGTAAATCACTTACCAGGTTTCTTTTCGCAAGAGCAGCATTTTTCTTTGTTAATTACCTTTACTTCGTTCTTTATAAAAAAGAAAAGAAAAAATGTTAAAATTTATTATAAAATATTTCAAATTTATCAACTGACTGTTTGACAAATGCATTCTTCACTTTTGTTATAATGTTCCAGTTTGTTATTAATACACTTATAGTAAATACATTTATCCTTTTCATCATCCCATTGCTCCCTTAGCTATAAGAAATTTTTTTATGTTAATTATTATTCTATTTCAATATATAAATATTATTAAGAAATTCAATTCGTACTTTTCCATTTTTATAACATTCACTACATTTATCAATTTCTACACAATTGTTCAAGTGATCTCTATAATATCCTTTTTTACATATGCAACTATCAGGTTTTGTTGGATTAAGGCAGGATCCGTTCAACCTTGATGTATTATTGCATGAAAATTCACAACTTTCTTCTGGATTTAGATGCTCATTCTCTGAACAAGGAACAGTTGTTGTTGATGGGATAGTTGGTGTTGTGGTACAAAGTACATCTTCATTACATTTCCTCTGCTCAGCTTGTTTACCTGGACACTCTTTACCATTACATTGAGGTTTTGGCTTATTACAATTTCTAGTCCTTGTTTGAAATCCTCCACCACAAGATAAAGAACACTCAGACCAACTAGACCAAACAGACCATTGACCATTTACTAATCAGGTTTAAAAAGAACAATAACTTAATAAAATCTGATCATTTACAAAAGTAATGCTGACAACAGTGCTGACAGCCTTATTTACAATGCCAACTTAATCATACTCACTATTTCTATTGTCCTTCTCAATGCATATTACAGTATCTATATTGCAGTAGCAATTTTCACACATTGTATCATTTACAGATTCCTTATCATTATAAATATTTCCCATGTAGTCATGGCAAACTGGACATTCCTTATTTTTACAGGAATCTTTCTCTTCTCTATCACCAATACATTTCTGTCCATTTCCATACTTTTGTGGGTTGTTAGGCTCTCTAGTTCTTATTTTTGTACCTTCTCCACATTCTGAACTGCAATTTGACCATTCAGACCAATTGGACCATTTGCAATTGCAATCTTTTTCGACACAGTCTTTCTTTCCTTCCTTGCATATACTGGAGAAAAATAAGAAAGAATGCAATAAATATAGACACAGTAAAAGGTGTGACAAAAGGAAAATTAATCTTGATTTATGAAAAACGGATACGACAGAAAACGTCCCCAAATTCATGATTTAATCCTAACCCTAACCTAGCCCTTGTCTCTCCTTAACCTTTTTGATTGCTCCTAACCCTTAGATGGAACCCCCCCTAACTATAAATCAAAAGCTACTTTACCCCTCCTAACCATTTTTCAATCCGAAATGTTGCTTTCAAAAATCTCATTTGGGGACGTTTTCTGTCGGCCCCATGAAAAACAATAGGATACTCATTTTCTTTGTTACTTTTCGCTACTTTTTGGATTAATAACAAATAAATCCATCAATTTTCACCTACCATTCAAGACAAGGGTTTCCTGTTGGAATAACAGATCCAGTACTATATCTTTTCCCATCAATATTACACTGGCATAAATTTGGTTCAACACATTCATTCCTGTCATTTAAGACTGTACCATTTCTACATTTACACCCTGGTTCACATACTTCTGGTTCAACACAACTATCGACACTTTTCAAACTGGCACATGAGCTGGGACAGTGCAAATATTTTTGGCAGTCTGAGATCCAAATTTTGTTATGTGAACAGTTTTCATGACAAGGTTTGTCATTACAAGACTCCATCTGAATGTCTGTACCATTACATTCCTTACCTATTATTAAAATAAATAAAAAGAAATAACCAAATGAAATATTTGTTTGGTAAACAAAAAAACCTCCATGGGTAGCAGGTGGATTGTTTGCATTTCTTGTTCGGTTTCTAGTCCCTCCATCACATTCAGCACTACACTTACTCCATTCCATCCAATTTGACCACTGACAATCCACAGGACAATCAAATGTATTACACCAGTCTACTTCAAAACTCTTCCCACTACACTTTTTGCCCAATCCTACTGAAGGTATCATAATTCTTGTTCGATTTCTTTTACCCTTCCCACATGTTTCTGAGCATTCAGTCCAATCTGACCAATCTTTCCACGTACAATCTTTATCACAATCCTTTAAGTTACATTTTAACTCAAACTTTGAGTTGCAGGAGCTAAAAACAAATATTATACTAAATAAAAAAAAAAAGCTAACATTTACCAAGTGCTACAATTTACATGTAACAAAACACCTGCTTCAATTTTGTCATTTAAAAATACTAATTCGTCAAATCTCGAAACTCCTGTTCAAAATCAAAAGCAGATAAACTCAGCATATATTATCAAAACAACACATCATACCTTTTTGTTCATCCTTTTCAATCCAACCAACTGCTACATTTTCTACTGGCTCGAATTTCAACTCTTCCCTAATTGTCACTCCATCAATATTACATTTATTAAAATCAGGCACAGTAGAACTCAGGGAAGACTCTAAAAAAAAAATTACAAAAAAAAAAACAATCTATAGATTAACAAAAACCAACCAGTAAATGTAGGAAATGTTTTAGTCCAATCCTTCACCTCTGCAAAAAATACACTAAAGTAAATTTAATAAAACAATAGTTAACTTACCTGTTGAACCCAAAAAAATTACAGTAGTAGTTGGTGTTTGAGATATTGAAGAACTGGTTCTTTGAGGCTGTGATGTTGTGTCTTTAGGTTGAGTAGTTAAATCAGGAATGAATGCTGTACTGCTAAAACTTTCCATGGTAGTTGGTGTGGCTGATGTTCCAGAACTAGTAGTTATAGGATGTGATGTTGTTTCTTTAGGTTGAGTTGTTGATTCTGGTATGAATGTTGTACTACTAAAACTTTCTGAAGAAGTTGGTGTGGCTGATGTTCCAGAACTAGTAGTTATAGGATGTGATGTTGTTTCTTTAGGTTGAGTTGTTGATTCTGATATGAATGTTGTACTAGTAAAACTTTCAGAAGTAGTTGGTGTGGCTGATGTTCCAGAACTAGTGGTTTTAGGCAGTGATGTTGTTTCTTTAGGTTGAGTTGTTGTATCTGGAATGAGTGTTGTACTACTAAAACTTTCAGAAGTAGTTGGTGTGGCAGATGTTCCAGAACTAGTGCTTTTAGACTGCGATGTTGTTTCTTTTGGTTGAGTTGTTGATTCTGGTATGAATGTTGTACTACTAAAACTTTCAGAAGTAGTTGGTGTAGCTGATGTTCCAGAACTAGTGCTTTTAGACTGCGATGTTGTTTCTTTTGGTTGAGTTGTTGATTCTGGTATGAATGTTGTACTACTAAAACTTTCCGAAGTAGTTGGTGTAGCTGATGTTCCAGAACTAGTAGTTATAAACTGTGATGTTGTTTCTTTAGGTTGAGTTGTTGATTCTGGTATGAATGTTGTACTACTAAAACTTTCAGAAGTAGTTGGTGTGGCTGATGTTCCAGAACTAGTGGTTTTAGGCATTGATGTTGTTTCTTTAGGTTGAGTTGTTTTAGGCTGTGATGTTGTTTCTTTTGGTTGAGTTGTTGATTCTGGTATGAATGTTGTACTACTAAAACTTTCAGAAGTAGTTGGTGTAGCTGATGTTCCAGAACCAGTAGTTATAAACTGTGATGTTGTTTCTTTAGGTTGAGTTGTTGATTCTGGTATGAATGTTGTACTACTAAAACTTTCAGAAGTAGTTGGTGTGGCTGATGTTCCAGAACTAGTGGTTTTAGGCATTGATGTTGTTTCTTTAGGTTGAGTTGTTTTAGGCTGTGATGTTGTTTCTTTTGGTTGAGTTGTTGATTCTGGTATGAATGTTGTACTACTAAGACTTTCAGAAGTAGTTGGTGGGGCTGATGTTCCAGAACTGGTGGTTTTAGGCTGTGATGTTGATTCTTTAGGTTGAGTTGTTCTTTCTGGAATGAATGTTGTACTACTAAAACTTTCAGAAGTAGTTGGTGTAGCTGATGTTCCAGAACTAGTGCTTTTAGACTG